ATCAAGAACCACTAGGTCAGGAGAGCTGAAACGTACGTGGAAGCATTCTCATATAGTGTAGATTTAAGTTTGTTCAAATCATGACTCCGGGGGAAAAGCGGGGCCACAATGTTGTATTAAAGTTTAACATAGGAATACGTTGAACTTTAAAAAAAAAAACTCCTTCTCAAGAACTACTGGCCGGGAAAATTGAACTCATGTGGAAGCATCCTCATGTAGTGTAAATTCATGTTTGTTCAAATCATGACCCCCAGGGGTAGGGTGGGGCCACAATGGGCTATCAAAGTTTGACATAGGAATACATAGGTAAAATCTTTAAAAATCTTCTTCTCAAGAACCACTGGGCCAGGAAAGATGAAACCCACGTACATAGAAGCATCCTCTAGTAGTGTAAATTAAAGTTTCTTCAAATCATGATCCCACTGGGAAGGTTGACACCACAAGGGAGAATCCATATTTGACAGAGTAAAATAAAGGAAAAATCTTTAAAAAGATTCTTCTTAAAGAACTACTGGACCAGGAAAAAAGAAACTCTTGTAAAAGCATTTTCTGGTATTGTAGATTCAAGTTTATTCAATTCTTGACCCCCGAGAAAAGGGTGGGGCCACAATGGGATATTAAAATGTAACATAGGAATACATAGGAACACTTTTTAAGAATCTTCTATTCAAGAACCACTGGGCCAGGAAAATTGAAACCTTAGTAGAATCATTCACTTGAAGTAAAGATTCAAGTTCGTTCAAATCATGACCCCTGGCGGAATGTTGGGGCAACAATTAAGAATCAATCTTTGACATAGGTAAACATAGGAAAAATATTTTAAAAAGGTTCTTCTCAAGGACCACTGTGTTAGGAAAAATAAATGTTATGTAGAAGCACCTTCTGCTAGTGTAGATTAAAGTTCATAGATATTCTCCACAAGAGCCACTGGGCCAGGAAAGATGAAACTCATGTAGAAACATCCTTTTATTGTAGATTCAATTGTGCTCAAATCATAATTCCCAGGGATAGGCTGATTAATCCAAAACTATCTTTAGGAAGTTTCAATTTAAGTTTGTTCAAATACCCCCCAACCACTTTTATATTTAAATCTTTCAATATTTGACTGATATTTGCTTATACCTAGCCAGTTTCTCAGGTGAGCGATGTGGCCACTGTGCCTCATATCATTAGATCACATAGCCAAGGTCTGTTATACAAATCCTTAATTCATTCCAACCAATCCATCCGTTGCAAAACACAAGAAACATCTTTTACTGCATCTTGTTCAATAAAGACAAAAAGCTGAAATAATTTTAAATGATGACCTACACTACATGTATTCACTCTTGATATCTCTTCAATTAACAAACCAATCACAAAAGTATTCAATTTACAAGTAGATTATTTAAACTCTCTAAGGAAAAAAAATAACGAAAGTTCATTCATTTAAAAAGAAACTTTAGCATAACAACAAGAAGAGCGAATTGGAATATCAGCAATGCATTTTCTAATCAAAAATTGATCAATAAATATATTTTAGGCTAAAGAACGATAGGTATCCAGTCATTCAGAATAATTGTCATGATATTTATACTTATTTGGTATTTTTTGTCTTCTATTTCCGTCATGTATTATTTAATACAAAACACCATGAATCACTTCTCATTTCCTATCATGCTAATAAGCAATGGTATCTAAGTCTGGATTAAAGAAAATCTTATTTCTCTAAAACTGTATCATTTTTTTCTCCTTTTGTAGGGTACAAATGTCAACTTTTATTTGGCCTTCTCTAAGATTTCCAAAGACCTTGATTCTTAATATAGATATATCGAACAAAATACCATGTATAAGATAACACTGAATGCTTTTTTCCCACTTTGAACTTATTTAAATGCATTTAAAATATGCATGAGAAACCCACTCAAAATTCTTAGTAGGAAGTAATATTTTAGCTTCATTTTCTTTGATCTTTGATCTTTAGTAAAAATAATGTTTCTATGTAACTCTGCTTCCTTCTAATTTTTGTAACAGAATCTCATTTAATTTTCTTCATGGGTAGGTCTCGTAATTAAGTTTTAATTTTTTATAACAAGAGCTCCTCTCCTTTTCTGGTTTCACTTACATTTCACGTGTATCTGAAATATGTATGAGAAACTCATTTAAAATTCTTAGCAGGAAGATGAAATATTTTAGATTCATTTCCTTGGATCGAAATATACAAGGTGTTTTCATGATATGCTGCTTCCTTCGGGAAAAGATAAATGCCAAAAAAATTATGTTCAAATTTGCTTCTCTCTCTTTTTTTTGCAGGTAATGGATCATTGATGTATAAATGGTATTGATTCAGTCAGTCAGTCGTTACATAGAATATTGGTTTAATTATGGATTAATTAAATATTAAAAAAACAACCATTAGATTTTACCTCAAAATATAAAATTCTTTTTTATCTAATAATTATTGATTTTTACTGCACGAAAAGAAACTTCTTTCACAACAAATTCTTTACATTTACCAAAACGTAGTATGTAATACGTGTATATATATTTACAAAAAGAAAAACTACGTAAAAGACCTTATTAATAAATATATGAGATAAATGTATTGTATTTTTCAACAAAGGTACGTATTATATTTTTTTCATGTAGTGTTCATACCAAAATAAATTCATTTCTTTGCAGTAAAATTACGCATTTTATCGCATACAGAAGTAACAGTCAAGCACTTTTCCATACATCCAATTCTAAAGATTCTGCTTTGAACACGTGTAGTTCTCTAATTTTGAAAATTCCTTACGAAGTAAAAAAAAATATAATTCTCTTTTAAAATATTTTTAAGGAAGAATTTTTATTTACCCTTTGAATATATCTGAGCCATTCAATTCATTTGACTTGTTAATTTATGAAAGCATTCATTCAAAAGCTAAATACATCCATCCCTAGAATTATTGACATGATGATGTGTTTAAAAAACATTTTGTCCTTTAATTTCATACGCGTTGGAATCCTCACTCCACATTTACGAAGGTTGTCCGTAAAGTACGTGTGCAACATTGATGATTAATAACAAATATGGATAAGATATTTGAAACCATTATTTTCATTAAATTCATGTTTCATTTTATAAATATGCAAGTTTTCAATTAGAAAGCACAATTAATTATTCTTTTATCGGATACAAAAAAGACACACATTCATATCCCGTGCACTAAAACGAAAATTCTTGACATTACCTGACGTCAAAAGTACATGTAACATTTCTCAACATATAGGCAACGTTTAACTCTATATGTTTCTAATATCGCTTTAACCAGTCATCAAAATGTGCACAAAAGGTGTCATATATAAAATAATATTTAACAATGCCTGTCTCATATCATGCATATCATTCAACCTCTGCCCTCGTAAAACGGGTTTTATTTACAGAAATCATTATAAAAGAGCTCTTGAATGGTGTATGTGCAGGATTCGGATTATCTTACCAAATTTATCCCTTTTTTGCATAAAAATCATTAAAAAAATCATACTTGTAAAAATAGATAATGCAATTTTTTTCGCTTCTAATACCAGTAGATTTAGATTCAACTAGTTTACTTGTGAAAGATATCTGCAAAACTTTGTATAGAATTACATAGAAAATGACACGAATCGCATATCGAAAATGAAAATCAAATATGCACAAACTCTATATTATATGTCTTAATGAGTCTCAGTTGCTTTGGATGATTCCAATTGAGAAATTTGTCTAAAATGATCAATATTTACAAACGAAAAATAAAATAGTTCTGCCTAAGGACAGACAAATATGATTTAAATAATGGAGTATTCTCTTAAAAACAATTGTATTTTCATTTTCTTTTTACAAAAATTCTATTTTATGACAAAGCGCCATTGTGCTTCTCCTATTTTATTTTTTGATTGGACACATATTTGGAATTTATCTTGCCATTTGAACCAGCATGATAGCAGGAGCTAACATTTTGTATGCAAAATCTCGCAGTACCTCTTTTTAAACTGAAAAAAGTGTTTTATACGTAAGTGGGAATTAAATTAGAATCTAAGTTTTCGCTATAAGCACAAAATAGACTTATACTAGTATGTGTATCGATTCTCTTGAATTCAATAAGATATTATTTGAATATTTCTTCATATCTTATAAAAAATTAAGATCCCACTGCAATGATAAAATTATATCATACTTCATAACTCCTGCTTAAAACCACAAATCATTCCCATCTAAAATAATATGAGTTTGTGAAACACTTTGCGCCTGGCGACAACAAAGTTCAAAAAGATTTTTTAAGCATATAGGTTAATGTCAAGGTCACAAGGTCATGACCTTGGTGTCATTTTTCAGTGCATAATGAGTGAAGTACGCATACCAAATACGAAGGCTTTATCTTTCATGGTTCAAAAGTTATGGCGAAGATTTAAGTTTGAAGACAAAAAAGCTATTTTTAGCATAAAGTCATAGTCAAGTTCACAAGGTGGTCATTGACATTGATATAATTGGAATGATCTTAATTAGTAGAATAGGCATGATAAATAGGAAATCTCTATCTTACAAAAAAGTTTCTATTTTTCTAGGGTTCAAAAGTTACAGCAAAGGTAAAAGTTTGCAGAGAAAAAAGCAATTTAGCACATAGGTCACAGTCAAGGTCACAAGGTCATTGACATTAGTGTAATTTAAAAAAGCATTATTAGTAAAAATGCACACCAAATATGAAGTATTTATCTTTCTTGGTTGAAAAGTTTGGCGAAGGTGTAAGTTTGCAGACAAATAGACAAACAAACAAACAAACAGACAAACGAACAAACTGGACAAAAACAATGTTCGCTTGATCTTTCGATCCGGGCGCATAAAATTCGATATTTCATTGATTAGTAAAAGCGTAATACGTCAAGGGCAACCAATTGCATTTCAGTAATAGATCAAGGCACCTGTATTTAAACTTGCGACTGAGGCATCAAGTATCAAATTCTTTCAGGAACATAGTGGATTGTTATAAAGAGAGAGAAAGTATGAGTAATCTCTGTTTCTTTTGTTTGATTGTCGTCATCTTTACCGTCTCTCAAGGTATCTTTATTTCGCGGAAATTCATTGCAAAACTGGAATTTGATGATAAATTTTCAAATAATGAACTATTAGGAGAATACAACTCAAAGTCCTTGATCGAGTGTGGGATCATCTGTCAAAGAGAGCGTAGATGTAGCCTTTTTGGTTACAATACAAGGTTAAAGAAATGCCGTATACACCATAAGGCATTCACTTCCGGAACGTCAAACCAGGCCGGTTGGAGATACATGTACTATCAATGTATGTATAGCTCTCTCTCACAAAACATGAATTACAATTGCCAGTTATACTTTACAGCGGTAATTATTGCATTTGAATCAGGTCAAATGCACGCATTAATATATTTTCTGAAGTATTATATAACGGAATACCTTTAAACTTACTATGTTGTTTCAGAAACTGATTAGCGAAATGAACTTATTTTAAACTAATTTTGCATATATTTTATGATTGCACTGTTTCTTCATACAGCTCAACGCTCTTTTTAGACTCACATGGTTTTTTCGCACAAATTATGCAAAATATGTAACGTGACAAAAAAATATATTCTAAAAGTGATTTATAACTTAATTTTCATCTTATTCCATTTCTTTAGATATAATTCACACAGAATAGTTGGTAGGATTTTTATATTCTCTTCGATGATAGATTATGACAGTCCCCTAATGTTTTTTCATCGTTTCTCGTCAAATGTAGCCGTCTTTGTATCCGTTCATATTAAAGCATTCTTTTTCTTTTTCTTGCCTAAATACAGACACAGTGCAGTTCATGTAGCCTCTATCTTTTCTATACATTAATATGACACTAAAGTGCAACATGACATGTTTTTCTTTTCTATTTGATTGCTTTTCATGTAAAAAAAAATGTAATTTTTTCAGGTTAACTTTCTGAAATAAAGCATCATTAAACATACCTTCAAAAGAAAAATTTCAATGTTTCAGTTCATAAATGTAAAAGAATTTTCTTTTCAATACAATTTAGTGAATTTACTGTGTTTAAAGAGACACCATGCTTTATTATCCTATCCTTTGACATGATTTTTTATGTAGTTTTGTCATTTATAAACACATATCCCTTTTAAAACATCGGGTTTTAAAATTTAAGATAATAATTTTAGACATTATTTACCTTTAACATGAAATGTTTAATAATATAAGGATTATGTCTCGCACTAAAACTCGATTATTTTAAGATTTATTGCAAGAAAAATGTGACTTTAATTTGTGCAAAAAGCATGTGAGTTTAAAAAGTTTATTGAGTTGTATTTCAATTTGCTTAAACTTTCAGCTCGTCGAAATAATTATATAAGAAAAATTTTCAAGAGCTCCAAACGTATTATGAATCAAAAACATGAATTAACGTTTATATCTTTAAAGTACTTTTATAATTCCTGTTTATGTACTTCTGTTTTTATACCTGTGTACCTTTTACTTAGTACTTGTGTACACCTGCAAATCGACTTCTTCGTTCGTATAAAAAAACGTTCATCTTACAAATATTTATTTATTATATTTTCAACAGTGAAATGCTGTTATTTATTCATTGAATAAAAACAATATCCTGTCACATGTGACAAATATCAGAAGTGCGGTAAAATTCTCGAGTTACCTCCCCTTTAAAAGAGTTTGTAAAAATATTCCTTACTCTGTTCTAATAAATAAAGGGAGTAAATAAACCATTCTGACAAGGAATTATACTGCCAAAGCTCCTCTAAATATGTTGCTGAAATCCATGTTTGCAATGTTTTTAACCTCGCAATACTAAGCTGTGACGTCGCAACCTCAACTATGACGTCATGTAGCCTAAGGATGTATTACAAAAAGACAAACAGGCTAAGGGAAAATCAAAGAATATGAAATAAACAGAAATTTCAATGTCTTGTACTTGAATATGGAATTTATTTCACTCATGAGAAAGGAGTTTTTGCTCTCGTGAAGATATAAAAAAGAAATCCTATCCCACTCGTGAAATATATTCCATATTCAACTAAAAGACATTGAATTTTCTGTTAATTACATATTCTTTGATTTTCCCTTAGCCTGTTTGCCTTTTTGTATTAAATCTATAGGCTACATGACGTCATAGTTGAGCGGTTGCGACGTCACAGCTTAGTATTGCGAGGTTAAAAACATCGTAAACATGGATTTCATCAACATATTTAGGGGAGATTTGGCAGTATCTGTAAACTATAAAATATTGAAAATCCTCTATATATAAATGTGTAATCACCTTTTAATTATAAAGTTGGATTTCAGCATTTTCTTCTTCTGTTTTAGATCTTCCTGTAGACTGTAAGGACCTCCATGATTGTGGTAACACTAATTCAGGGGTGTACGAAATCTATCCCCTCGGGGCGCGTTCTATCCGTGTTTATTGTGACATGATGACACAGGGCGGTGGATGGACGGTACTTGTAGCTAGTTTATTTCCAGCACATAAATTCAGAAGTGTGGCAGATGTATTGGAATCAATTATTTTGTTCTTAAACAGATTTTTAATGAAAAAAATCTGAGTTTTTATTTTTATGACACTTATCAAACAAAATTTTATAAGAAAAAGGTATTTTTTTTTCAAGGTTATCCAAAAACGAGTCAGTGGATCCTTAAGTTTTAACAGGAACTGGGCGGAATATAAAAATGGTTTTGGGGATCCTGAACAAAATATGTGGATTGGTAAGTGTAAATCTATATCATATTGGCCCGTTTTGATTTTCTTGCTTATTAGATAAAATAGTGTATGAACTGTTTTGGGCTATATAACACCTTATCAATTTCCACAAGGGATTATAAGATTGGGTTATAATTTTTTTTGTGATACGCGCGTGTAAATTCGTGAGAGAGAGAGAGAGAGTGGGGGTATGAGAGAGAGCAACTTTATATTTTCATATTGAATTGCGTTTAAATAAATTTTATACAGGAAATGACGTGATCCATCAATTGACAAAGAATAAAGACTCCCACCTCTACGTTTCCATAACTACTCAGAATGGCACGAAACTGTATCAGTTGTACTATCAATTTAATGTTTCAAGTGAAACTGAGAAGTTTAAAATATTTTTGTCGGGGGATTCTACGGGGACATTAGGTAAGTTGCAGACAGGCCTTGCACACACACAAAGAGAGAGAGAGAGAGAGAGAGAGAGAGAGAGAGAGAGAGAGAGAGAGAGAGAGAGATTATATATTTATTTACTGAGTTCGACACAAGCGTTCCGTCGGACCCGGGAGCCTAGCTGCCTGCCTGAGTCCGCAGGCCGATGGCAGACAATTTGGTCCAGGGGTCTAATAAAAGGTTCTTTCTCGAGAACTGAGTAAATTAATATTTTGTTATACCTTTCATTTTATTTTTTGATATAGAGGTTTGTTTTGTCTTCCGTGATGTAACATGAGGTTTGTCACTGTTGAACACTATCGACTGAATACTGTAAAATCACATATTTTCGTGGGGTCAAATTTTCGTGGTTTGAAGAAAAATAGTTGGTTCGTAGGGATTTGATTTCGTGGAGAAAGATCTTTTTAGTAGTTACGCATATAAAAATTAACATTTCGTGGTGGTCATAAATTCGTGGGTCTCTTCATACCACGAAAACAACGAAAATTAAACCTCCACGAAAATTATTGATTTCACAGTATGAGATTAAGCTAGGCACAATTTGTGACGTAACCGGTCAAACATTTCTCGGACTGGTCCAAAATCTTACTAGCGGTCAAACATCGATTTTTTATTGTCTACTCAGCAAAACATTAAAAATGTTAGACTTTTGTGATTAAGATTTGCATAAGAACATATTTTTAAAGTATAACAACATCACTTAGATAAGGGTGTTTTAATTTTTGATACACATGCGCAACATTGTTAAGGCTGAAAGAGGGAGGCGGTGCCTAATTTATAGTTTAAAGTTTACTGTGACATTACACTAAAACATTACTTTTATGTATTCCTCATAATACCAGAAAATAAAATATTTTTCATCTTTAAACTGCATTAGCATAATAAACAACAATTAAACTTATCAATGTATATAAAAAGGTTGCTAGTTAAATCCCATATAGCTGGTTATAAACAGATCACTAATCTCGATGAACTTGTCAATCATGGTGTCATTTTGGAAACAATGACGTATTTTATGTGCTGTGAGATGCAGATTGAGGAATTTTCTAACAAAGATAAATGCGTTTTATTAAAAAACAGAATGTTATTTACAGGTGTCAAATAGGCTTTTAATACCAATGTATATCCTTTGTTCCGTGCGTTTATTCATTAACTATTAATATAGTTAAATAATTTATTTGTGTTTTAATGTTCAGGTAAAGTATATTTTACATCGATGTGCCTCATTAAATCTTTCCTTCGCAAGGGCGTACTATAAATAAACCATTTTTGGAATATAAATAAAAGGTATGTTCCTTAACTTGAAAGGTGCTGCTGCTTTCTTTAAATCGAGAGGGTGACTTTATTAATACACCAAATATCTGGTAAAAGTCAAACAGATTACATGGAATTTTAACAATTAAAACGCAAATATTTTTTAAAGAAAGTAGAAGCACTTTCCAGAAAGTACAAAATATACAGAAGCAATTAAGAGCTTGAATTCTTAATTTCAAATAGGTCTGCCCTTGTGATATTGAAATTTGTTAATGACCTACATTTAGTACATGTACTATGCATTCATCAAGTTACTGTCCATTGATGGGACCAAACTTCATACTATACGGTGTAGGTTATATCATACTATTTCCGTAAGTATTTAAGTTCTGTGATAATAAAACAGTTTGCAATATTCAATTTTAAAAACAATACCCGTTTTTGCATTTCTATTTTCCCTTGATTTCTCATAGTATGCCTTAACAGTGCTGCGTAGAATTATTGACAAAAGTAAAATATCTTAAATTCTTACATACATCTGTTTATCTGTATCAACAATTTAAAAAAAAGTAGAGATTGAAAACAGAGATCGGTAAAAAAAAAATAAGTTTGAAATGACTGACTTTTTCATACCAATTGAGAGGTCTTCTTTACACAATGAATTGCCTATGGATTTTCCCCTTCTTTTCAAACATGAAAAGAAGCAGACAGTGCGTGTGATTCAACTAGTTAATTTAATTTAAACATGGATTTTGCCTAACTCAAAGACAAAATTGGCTAAGGTAAGCTCTGTTATCTCAACAGATTACGATATACAATGTACTTATATTTGACTGTGGAGGTTCAGAATTTACTCAAACTTTTTTATGAACAGAGGATGTGTGTAATTTTTAATTTAAGGTCATTTGGTGAAGTTCAACGTGACACTTGGAATATTTTTGGGACTAGGGAGTGGGCTAATTATGGTTTGCAGGTTTTTTTTTTTTTCAAAAATTCATATTCAAAACCGTTAAGATTAAGATACATTTATACATGTATATGCTTTGTATTGTTTCTATTCATGGGACTTTAACCATCAGAACAATGACAGTAATCTTCAGAAGAAGTAATGAAGTAGCTGGCAAACTATATGTATCTTTAATTTTTTCAGGTGACAGTATGGTCAACACAGCGTTAACATGGGAGAATCAGTCTGGGATGTACTTTAGTACCCCAGACAACGATAACGACAATTGGGAGAACAACTGTGCTGCCTTCCATAACGGAGGAGGCTGGTGGTTTAATAATTGCCACCAAGCTTTCCTTAATGGCCCCTGGACGCCAGTAGAATGGAAATACCCCTGGAACCCTCCGTTTGAGTATGGAACATCTGTTTATGGAACTCTGATGATGGTCAGACGTGGCTAAGTAAATATATTCCTTTTTAGTAAGGGACATCTGTAGGAGAACTCTGATAATGGCCAGACGTGGCTAGGTTAATATCCTCTATTCAAGTGAGTGATATCTGATAGAAATATATGCTGCATGTTTGACTTTGGAAATTTTTTTTAACGTTTGTAATTAATTATTTCTGTGATAGAAAAATAGAACATTTATAAACTTCTCTTGTTCATATTTGCGAGAGAAAAAGTTTTAAAAAGCTTTTATTGAAGCAAAATTACATTATTGTCGTCCTGTACATTTTAAAACTTTACTTACCGGGTTTGTCTTATTGATCATAACGATTTGAATTACGTACAAATTTATAACAATTTTACATTTTTACAGCATAATAAAATTATTCAAAATGAAGCTCATATTATTTTAAGTGAAACTCTCTTGAATATTTAAAGCATGTATATTTTGTTTTATATGTTCAGAATCATGTTATGTCTTACGGATAACAGTATTTATTACATATTTACCCGTGAAATACTGTAATTTATTCATTGAATAAACATGATATCCTGTCAAAGTGTGAAAGGATATCAAAATGATATCCTGTCACAGTGTGACGAATATTAGAAGTGCGGGAAAACTCTCGATTTCCCATCCGATAACGAAGATTGCTTTAAAAATATCTTTCTAGACTATGTATGATTGCGCCCATGGAAAAAAGGCCCTTATGGCAATTTTTATGCATTTTGAGTTTTTCACGGATTTTGATAGAGTAAGGTTAGAAGTTGTCAAATAAGGATATGGAAATAACGAACAGTATTCAATCTCAACGTCCATTAAACAAATATACAAAACAAGAGCAGAGCAAACACGGACCTCCGAAACATCAGAGGTGGGATCAGGTGCCATGGAGGAGTGAGCATCCCCTGCTGACCGGTCACACCCGCCGTGTGCTCATTGTCATAATCAGGAAATAACGGAAAAAATCCGTAGTCAATTCAGTGTATAAATAATGGACTAACAATAATATGAAATTTTATGGTCCTACGTCTACTCTAAGTAGGTTTTTTTCTTCATTTTAATCAAAGATACTTTATCAAGTGCATAATGACGTCATGTTTTTCAACAACGTCAAACGTTTTCAGAGTGAACGTAAAATGATTTTCTTCTGTAATTTTATTTTGGTTATTTATACTTGTGTAATATTTAATATTTACTCATGCACATTATTTTTATCTCATTGTTTTTTTAACTATTAATAATTATTTAATAGTTATATATATATTATGGATTCATAAGTGGTGTATAGTATTATGAGTGAGTGTTTGTTTTACATTTCACTTTTCTATGACACCAGGGGGAGACCTGAACAGCGAGCAACTTCCATTCATTTTTTTAAACAATGATTTTCTCAAACAAAATATTTACCTCTAGTAATCATGCAAGAGTCATTTGATAAGCCTGTAGAATTTATTAGACAATTATTTTAATTTAAACATTGCTCTCGATAGGACAAGCATAAAACGATATGTCTTAAGTTACAACATATGTGAAAATTAATTTTGTAAAAATTATTTCTGGAGGAACAAAATGCTATATTATATATATACCTAAATGCTACTGTGAAGAGAAACTTTATTAGATTGTTCATTTTTTCTAAATTTCATATAAACACAGAAAAATTGTGAAGCGTGCATGATAACATTTTATTACAATATACAATAAACAGTAAATAAATAATAATGATTGGATTTATATAGCGCTTTTCTAGCATAAATGCTACTCAAAGCGCTTTACAATCAAAAATAAGAGGGAAATTCGGTTGATTCACTGCATTTTTAAGGTTTTCTGTCTGCATGGGATCAAAAATGACACTGCTGTTTGAAAAATATAAAGAATACACGAAATATTTTTCAGTCTAGCAGTAAAAATATTAGAATATTTACCAATCAAAAAGGTGAAAATTTTATAAACAAAGGATTGAATTATAATTCGCACACATTCACACAATAGATACTAGATAGATCCAGGATTAACATTGGTAAGATCATGTTTGTGTTGGTGACTTTTTTATTTAGGTTTGAAATAATTTTCTTCATTTTATATTTGTACCTTTGATTCTGAGCATTTCCATTTTCAAAATCGCACAGTGATCATGAGCTTTATGAGCTCGGGACTGAATTGCTATAAATTCAGTCTTGTTAATCATGTATATAACGACTCCCTAGAATAACATAATCTGTTGTTTTTTTATGAAATGGATGATTTTTGAAGCATACCAAATAGAATTAAATTAAAGATGCCATTTACAAAAATTTATAAAGAATTTCGAATAAAATTGGTTCATCGATTTTTTCCTCATTAATTTATAAAATAAAATATCCAGTAGACAATTCAATATAAATGAAGCATGCAGTTTAATGTATAGATTTTGTTGGGGTAGGTGTGGGTTAAAAAAAGTATTACATGTACCCTGTACATATTTAATAATTTTATTTGTATTTCAAGGGAGTGTTACCTATTTGTTTAATGATTTAAGATAAAATATTGGTGTCATCTAAAAAAAAATGATATATTAATTAAAATCAGGTTTAAAGATCAACAGATTTACTTGGAATTGTCACCAGATTTTGGCAAAAGAATGTACCGACTTATAAGCGGGTCAATATCAAATCCCACCAAAATAACGTCAAAAAATACAACCGACGTACAGGCGGACTGACTTGCATGTATAGGCTAGTATATACGGTATTATTCATGCCTAAATATATAGTCAGTTAAATATAACTGTTTTGTATAATATATTTCCTCATAATTGTCTCTGAACTGGCTGAGTTTTGAAATGTCAGATTTTTTTGTAGGGATGTAAGCATCTTAGAAAATTCATCATATTATTTTATGACTTAATTAAAAAAAAATCCCCTTCATTGCAATGATTTTGTTTTCTAATTTTATTTTATGAAGTGAGTTTTACAGAGTTTGAATTCCATTCTGGTCCCGTGCCAGAAGCTTGGATATGCTAAGCCTTATTCACCCTTACATGTTACGGAAATATAAAAGGACAACCTTACCCTCACCCCCATTCCCTGCACTGTGGCCAAAATAAAACAAAATGCAAGCATATTGTTGCAGTTTTATGTTGTGTATTTTCAGCATCGAATTTTAAATAATAATAATAAAACCCGATCCTAAACTTAGAAGGATTTTTTTTTTATCAATCAAAACAAATAAAATCATATTAAGTGCTTATATAATTATAATATTTATCCATAATTTGATGGGAGGTTAATTAATATATTCCACACTGATAACTGCAATGAGATACGTCTAAAGATGAATTCGGTTTTTAGCATGATAATTGATCTGTTATGAAACATTCAACAGATGTTCAATGCTGATTGAGCTTTTGTGAAAGACAAATTTCTTCGTGCTTTTAGGAATTAATTTGTAGATAATGCTTAAAACATTTGAACTCTATGTATAAAAACAAAACAAAACAAAAAAAAAAAAAACAAAAACAAAACAAAACAAAAACGTAAATACCAAAGAGTTACGGTGTACATGTACATGTATATCAAATTTGGAGATCTTGAAAATAAATAGCCAATCATGTAGATTAGAGAACCAAAAAAAAATTCTTTCATTTTAAAGTATTTTATTATTTTGTTTGTTTTCAAAAGAGTTTCACATTTCTCAATATAAATATTTTTATCTACCCTCCATCTTCTCTCTCTCTCTCTCATCAGATTTACTTGACCAGCTCTATCTAAGTAAGAACATTTAGAACTTTTTTTTGCTTGTTTTTAGTTCTCTAAATTGAAGTGTCTTTATGCAACAAGAAAATAAGACAAAACAACATTTTTAAAGTTTAATTTATTTAATCACGATTCATGATACTGTTAATTGATACTATACATGTATATTATTTTTTTAAAACATGAGTTCGTTATTAAATTATTTCATGCAAAAAAAGCTATATAGATAAGAGATTTGGGAGAAAACATTTTGAAAGTCTGATCACTTTGCATTAACATGACCTAATTGTTCCAAAAGTATAGCAATATTTTTTTATGTAAAATATTAAAATCATGCTGACAATTAAAGGTGTTTTATTTGGTCATAAAAGATCTCTTTTATAATCCGGTAGCAAATTCATGCGAACATGCAGCTGAAATGTTAAAAGTCCCTTTCTGGTACCCCTGTTACATCGATTGTTGACATCAGAGTTATCTCTCCTGTTTTTTTTTATTTATAGAAAATACAAATATCTTGACCGTTGTTCTTACACATTTTGTAAGATTTGTAAAGTAGAAGATGTATGTTTAGTTTCAACATTAGTACAAACAATTTAAGAAAAGTTTAACCAGTATGCACCGATGAATCAATATATATGATCGACGCGATCGCGATATATATTGAGAACGGTGGAGCGGATCTCAAAAAAAGGAAGACAATTTTCCTTTGCAATATTTTTAACAATAAAAACCCTGTCTAACATGTATCCTAAATCTGGTATAAATATGTAAATAAAATTTATTTATCTAGATTATACAGGTTTATTATCAGATTAACACCTTGTCGACATGCAGCTTCTATACGTAGTTAAATATGGACCCAGATAGCATGAGGACATTGGCCCAACGTTGGCCCAACAATGTTGGTTATGTTGGGCCAATGTTGGCAATTTACGTTGGCCCAATGTCCTACTGCTCATTGGCGCACCGTTGGCCCAACATGCTGGGCCTATGTTGGTACAATACTGTTTGTTTATTTGTTAACGTTGGTACAACGTTATTCCAACATACCAACGCCAACGCAATATTTTGTAACGTTGGCCCAACGTTGGACCTCAGTTCAAAATATAATCATGACGTTGGTCCGACGTTGGTCCAACGTTGGTACAACGCTTTTGTTGAAATGCCAACGTTGGTACAGCGCTATTCCAATGTACCAATGCTAACCAAATATTTTGTAACCTTGGCCCTACATTGGACCTCAGTTCAAAATATAGTTATTTCGTTCGGCGTTGATTCAACGTTGATACAAAGCTGTTTCTTGAAATATCATTGGCACAATTATTCCTCAATACAAATGTCTTACAAAATTAATTAAATTCTGTAATATTTATTTCCCAGATTATATGACACAATTAATTTCACCATGTTTGGTCAAATACTTTTTTTCCTCCTAAAATGTATCACAATGTATTCTTTGCCACTTTCACTTTCATTAAAGTATTGCATGGAATGTAACTAAAAGAAGGAAGAGGTAGAAAGTTCAAGGTTTCTCAAGTACATTCCACATCACTATGTCCACTACTAAAAATCGCTTTGTTATAACAGTCTTCAAGTTCTAATTGTACAGTTTTGAAAGGTCATATTT